TCTGATCGTACGAGTATCTCTAATAGGGCCGTGTTATGGCTGCCTCCAATAATAATAATAATAGTATTTTTGATTCCAAGAAAAACCTTTTTGGTGGATATATATTATGATATTGATATTATTAAAATCAAAATATTCCGAATTTTCAGTGATTATTCTCTGATAAATGTTATTTCTCATACTTAGAAAACAACTATCCTGAAATGTTAACGTTATCGGTCTGTTATATCACTATATAACTAAAAGTTTAAAATTTATATGATCTACTGTTGTGTATTTACAAAAATGTTTCAAAAAACATATATTATTTGTATGGTTCTAATAGAAGGAAATTACAACGCGGTCCTGTTAGAGATAGTCCTGTAAGGAAATTTCGTGGTATATTCTAGTTAGATAAATACCGCTAGGGGAAGATGATGAGACAAAAACAACAACTCGTATTTCCGATTCTACTCGATATAAAAGTGTGTGTTGTCAATGTCTTAAGTGAGCTTTGCAGTAAGACAGGAAGAGGCGAATCTTAATAGTTAGCGTGCCAGACTGCGTATTGGAAAGTTCAAAGTTCGAGCCGCGATATAATGCTATGCACTTTCAGCTGTGGGTGCATTATAGTTGTTCGCTTTCCACTTGAATAAAGACACGTCTGTCATCTACATTCCAGTCTGTCGTCCTGTTATTATTACAGTTTAAAGAAAGAATGTAACGCATATGACTAAAACGTGGTTGATTACAATCCAGAATCAGAGCTAGTGTCGGTCACAGACAGTGGCGTTGGAAGCGGGGGGGGATGTCCTACTTCTTAACCTGTTCCAGTAAAAATGCATCAGAAGTAGAAACATTACTCTCAGGAAAGGCAGGGGAATGCATAAAATGTAATCCGAAACCAAAGAGCTTCCAGGGCCCTAAGGCGAGCCTTGGACCCCCGGCTGTAATGGGTGCGCCTATGGCGTACATTCCTTCGCTTCGCTCGGCTAAATAAACCTTGCACCCAACTTTTAATTTGCCCCCTACACCTCTGGCAGAAGAACATGCGGGAGTCGAACTTTGTAATACGTTTCATAAAGAAATGAGACATATTTTTTATGATAGCAGTCTTTATTACGCTTATCGTACTGTTACCATCAGTTTTACAGACTATATTGTCAGCACGTGGCGAGCAGGAGTCAATACTATTGTCATCAAGCATAGAAAATCGTCTCTGAACAAAAGTGAAAACGTAAATTAACTTCATCCCAAACTATTGAGCTTTTCGCCTAAAGAACTAGAGAAAATATTGTTCTTTAATTTATAGTTTTTACACACATTTCCATCATGAAGCCAAAACTAATTAAAATATCCAGCTATAACTATCCTATCAATCAATATGTCAGAAGAAAGAGGAGAACGATGTGGACAGCGAATTTTACAAATATCATATACACGGACGGATCTTTGGATTGGTTTACATTGTGGTGCATGATATTAATAAAAAAATACTAAGGTTCTTATTTTACATATACAGTCCCTTAAAATATAGTTCATGCTTCCCTATACACCGTCCCTTAAAATATAGTTCATGCTTCCCTATACACCGTCCCTTAAAATATAGTTCATGCTTCCCTATACACCGTCCCTTA